TCTACATGCTCAGCCCTCGGATTATCCGATGTTTCTTCCGCAACGCGGGTTAAGCAGATCTGATAGTCCAACACAGACAGTTTTGTTATCTTCTTCGAACATCGCTTACACAAGTAAATTCTGACCCGCAGATTGAAAATGTCCGAGGACAAATAACGCTTCATGACGCTGTGGCCTACTTCCTCTGCTTTTGTTTCCCTTTTGATTTTTGTTCACCTTTGCTGATTTATATCACGGGTCAAGGCAACCAGTTTAATTGAATTTCGATCCTCTGATCTTGTTCATTTCGCTGAACCGAATAGAACTTAATGGACTTCCTGTTTGTGTTACTGTGTCGAGCTCAGTTCACCTCTGCTCATACACCACAAGGTCGCACAAGCTACGCTTGAGCAAGCCCTATTATTATCAGTTTGTCAGTATCTCAAGCCTGCAGAGCAGTTTTTCGTAGCTTACTAGTTTAATAATTCTGGAGAGTTCACTTCAGCTCGCTTTATCAATTGTGACCCAATCGGAACATGGTGCATCCAGTCACCTTTACCAGGTACGCCATGTAAGTAAAAGACCGTCGCAACGAGATTGGACCTTAACCTGCTTCGGCGGTTTGCGTACCTCATTGACCCATTGAGCTATACTGGGTGATGCCTCCAGGCACCTTTCAGAGCTACTTCTACCTGTTGTTCAATGGTGAGAGGTCAGACAAACTCAATCTCCTGGTCCTCCAGGTTGGGGGTTTGAAATGGGATGGCGTCCATTTCTGTAAAACTAAATCCTTGCCACATTCCCGCTGCCTTGCGGACAGGCTTTTGAGCCAAAGGCTTTAGTTGAGGACCCTAATCGTCCTCCTGTCTAGGTCTGGGCGCCCTAGCAGTATCTCAGCCCACATACAACCATGACAATTTCTCCAAACTCTAACTATATCCTGCATCGGCCGTCGCGCAGATTATCAAGGGTCGCCTTATCTGCTGCATACAGCAGGGCGGATAAGCGGAAACATGCTACTGCTGGCGCCTCCCTTCTTACTTTTCCACCTGTTCTTGTTACTCCCATCCTGACCCCGATTACTAGCCTTCGTTATATACTTCCCAGCTTAACTGACAGCAACCGAGGTGCCACTGGAATAGAACCATCTGCAGCCACCATCCCACAGCACCTATCGGACGCCTATTGGCAACAGTCCCTTATGAGGCCACGCTGTCACATTTCCATGGCGGCATTAAACTGGTTGCACTCGCACGCACATTGGAAACACTGGGTAATGATGTGTGTTGTGCGTCCGAACTTACGATCAATGACCCTAATGGGGTTGTTAAATTAACTGCGCCCTACTTAACCTCTCGTTATTGGTTGCACGCGTCCGGAGATGCCGATGCAGCACTCACGCGTCAAGCTGGTGTAGGTATCATTCTAAGCTCCGAGGTTGAGCTATCGTTCCTTGATTGGACTCGGGTGAACAGCCGTTTGTGTGCAGTCTGTTTGACGACATCAACTAAGGTTGATTCACGAAATGGTGCAAAACGCAGTTTATTTGTGATTTCCGTTTATGCTCCCACCGACTGCAGTTCTAATGTTGTCAAGGACACATTCTATCACGAACTGAACGCGCTACCACGCAGTGCTACTGGTTCAGATACTTCAGTACTTGCAGGGGATATGAACGCACAAGTAGGGCCTCTGAGCTCTTCAGAAGCTCAGGTAGGTGGAAATCATGGGCTTAACTCCGAACGGACTGACAACGGCAAGCGTCTGCTACAACTGTGTGCGGAGCACGTTGTTTCCTAGTAGCACTGCTTTTAGACACAGTGGGCGCCGAAGGGCCACTTGGCGTCCTCCTGTAGCTGGCCAGCGATGGACCCAAATTGATCACATAGCCAAAAGTTACAGATGGCGTGGTTCTATCCTGGATTTCCGCTCACCCTGGAGTACCTGTGTCGACTCTGATCATGCCTAGGTATGCTATCGTTTCTCCTTGAACTTTACCGGGAGACACACCAAGCGTCTCCTCCGATTGGTAGCTGAGAAATTGTCTCAGGCCTCGGTCAGGCAAGCCTATCATGATGAATTACAGAACTTTCGCTGTCTTGTCTTAATACCACTGTGCTTCAGTGGAATAAGATCTCGGCAGCTGTGCATGACGCAGGAGCCTACTTGTGGCACTACCAATCGTCACCGCACCAGTCAATGGATATCCGAGAGGTCGATGAACCTGTTGGAATCCAGAAGAAATCTCCCGGTTGACTCTGAGCATAATTTGACCAAACTGACTATTGGGAGCGAACTAAAGCGGAGCCTACATGCTGACAAGGAAGCTTTGTGCACCAGCCGGGTCCAAGAAATGAAGAAGGCGGGAGCGTTTGTCAATTACCGCAAACTCTTCCAGCTGATCCGCGCCACTGCTCACAGCAAGCCAGGCGTCAGTGAGACAATCAAAGACAGTGCAGCTGCACTGATATACAATAAGGGCGCCTTATGGCTCTTTGGGCATAACACTTTCAAGATCAGTTCAGCTGGCCCCCCGCTTTCGAACTTCTTCCTACTCGGGTGATGCAGAGCGAGTCATAGACGGTTAGTTTAGAACCTCCGTCGGAGGCCGAGGTCCGAAACGCGATCACAGCCCTCAGTTGTTTTCTTGCTACTGGCCCGGATTCCCTCCCACCTGCACTATTTAATGATGGAGGTGAGGTCCTCTGCAAAGTACTGACCTCCCTATTCGAACGTGTCTGGAAGGAAGTGTCCCGGGTAATTGGTGCGAATCGATTATAGTGGTGCTATACAGAAGGGCGATCGCACAGACTGTTCTAACCACGGGTATATTACCCTAACGCCAGTTGTGACAAAATTAGTGACCTGGATTCTCATTCGTCGCCCCACTGTGGAACGGGAATCTCGGATTAGGGAAGAGCAGGCCGGTTTCCGCCCAGGATGTGGCTGTATAGACCATATATTCACTTTACGGCAGGTGCTAGAGCAGCGCCACGCATACCGCAGACCGACAATAGCTGTGTTCCTCGATTTCAAGAGTGCGTTCGATTCATTCGATCGATCCATTCTGTACGAAATACATAAGCACAAAAGTGTTGCCACGAAATATGTGAACATCTTTCGTGCTCTTTACTCGAACACTACAGGCCGCGTCAGGGTCTATGGTGTCCTATCGGATAGCTTTCCGACCACAACTTGCGTTCGTTAGGGTTGTCCGATTTCATCATTTTCGTTCAATTTCGTTGTGGATTCTATCATGGGGTGTTTCCTTGCGGAATCTCACCATGTAAGCGTTGAAGTGCTACCTGGTGAAAGATTAGTTGACCTAGATTATGCGGACGACATCGTCTTGCTTTTCGATGATGTTGGGGCGGCATAGCCAACCCTGAATAGCCTGTCCAGAGTGGTCCCATTATTTGGTGTGCACTTAGCACCTTCAAACTGCAATGTGTTGCTGCAGGACCACCAGACATTTTATGACCCCTTGACCCTTGCTAAGTAGGAGCTCAAAGTGGTTGGTCAATTCACTTGTCTTGGAAGATGCATCAGCAAAGATGGGCGCATGGCAACTGAAGTCATTTCATGCATTGCCCAGTCCAGAGCTGCCTTTTTGAACCTGCGGCATCTTTGGCGACAGAATTGAATTTCCCTCTGTCTGAAAGGCCCGTGTATACAAGGCCACAGTGAGAGCCGTTTTACTCTATGGTAGTGAGACTTGGCCCCTTTGGTCTGAAGACCTGAGGCGCCTTCAAGTCTTTGATCGTCGTTGTCTGCGAAGCATTACTGGAGTCGGATGGCACCAGCGTGTCTGCAACAATGATGTGCGTAGGCGAGTATTAGGTGGTGATAATCATGCTAGCACCCTAGGACAACAGATAGCACTGAATAAGTTGCGTTGGTTTGGGCACGTGCTACGTATGCCTGGTCACCGCTTACCTAGGAGGGCCTTGTTCAGTCTACCAGGTGTAGGGTGGCACAAGGCTCGAGGTGGACAGAAGTTGACTTGGCAGCGGGAAATGAAGTCACTGACGACCAAACTGGGTGCCGTTGGTCCGTCTCGCCTTCCGGGCTGCAGTCCGCGTGATTCGCCTTGTACTTGGCTCGAGACTTTGCAGGACATGACTCGCAATCGACACCAGTGGCGCGTCTGCTGCCGTCCCCTAATCGGATTGCATGTTTAAAGTGTGTTCGGTGCTGAGTTATCTGCTGGGTAATGGCTTATTATGACGCGTGGCAGTGAAAGCCGCAAGGAAGCTGTCTCGCCGATGCCGCTTTATCTTTGCACGATAGCCATCTTTTTGTGACGTTATGTTGTGTACACAAGGTGTAGGCGCCTTGACCCTAAATGTTTGCTTAGGGCATTAAGGTTTTCAGGTAAGTCCCCCATCTCTCCCTCTTTTTATTCTTTAGTTCATAGCTCCTCCTGGTTGTATGGCAGCGAAGCATCAGTTCAAATGGCTGATGTACTGCTATTGATGATGATGATGATGTAAGTAAAAGAAGAGTGGCATTTGGTTGACGCGGCAAACATAGCATACTACAAATGAAGGGGTCAAGTTTCAGGCTTTGATTACCTAATGAAGCGGTGTACAACGAAAGTCTCATGGTTTCACCTGTGAGCTGGACACGTAGTCACTTATTCCTCTGCTCTCAAAGGTATTCTACCTGATGGGATAATGTGTGGTCTAGTTTTTCGTCAGCGTATCGTCAGCTGTTTACCTTACAATCTTGCTGTTCTTTTCAGCTTTCCACTTCAGCAGATTGCTTGGCTTAAGGAGCGTTTTTGTCCTCATAGGTCACCATGGGGAACTAATAGCACCCGCACTTTTAGGGACGTTGAATTTCTCCTGTCTATCATATATTGTCAAAATGTGGGTTGTCCAAGCGATCCTTTTCTTCAAATGTCTTTTATTTTGTCAGCTTGTTTGTCATCATTTTGATTTCGCTCCACCACCTGTGCATATCCCTTCCAGGCATCGGTGCGGGAACTTCGTGCTTGCGGCCTGCATCCTGATTTAATCATGTGTCGCTGCACTTCTGTGCTATCTCAAAGTGTCATTGATAAGGTCAGCTTGTTCAGTCAGGTCCCCTCCACTCATGTAAGTCCGAGTTTTATCACAATTACCTTCGTACATTTGAAACATTCTGCGAATGTGCTACCTATTTTTGTTCGTTTTGCATACTGTTTAGAAAAACTTTTGTTAGGTAGCATTTTAGCATTCTAATCCCTTCTAAATTCATTCTTCTCTGTAAAATATGTACCACGTTCTTTGTGTTGTAACAGCCACCGACTAACTCGTTAACTGCACGCATCATGTATTTAGCCAAAATCCGAGGCTCTGAATATTCTGCACCCAATGCTTCATATTTTAGTTCTTGCACTTGCTCCCAGAACTCTGGAAGTTGCCTCTTTTTTCTACCTTTACGCCGGCTACCTCACTTTTCATACGATTGGTTTTGGCAGCGTTTTCCACGTGTGCACCTTGTACATTGGTTCTCTCTGAGGTATCTTTTGTCACAATCTTTAACGCTGGTCTTTCAGTTGTTCATCGTCTCTTGTTCCCAGACCTGTTTCCCGAAATTTCTTACTCTTCATGCAAAATTGGTGTTTTCCTTTTCTGTCTTCTGCCGCCATCACTTCATTAAGACCTGTTTTGGAGTGACCGCTTGAATTTGAAAGATGACGAACTGCTCAATAGCTGTGCCAAAGGTTATCATCGTTCAAGTTGAATTACTACTCCATGGCCGTTCCTTTGGATTCACCTTCGCACGCAGAAGTCGAAAGTGTGATCGGAAATGAAATAAGGCTGCAGGTCCAGGTGAACTTTCTTCAACCCTTAAATCTGTGAGAAACAAGGCGGAATCGAACACACTACTTATGCTGGCAACCCACCATAGTCGTGTTCCCATACATCTAAGATGCCTTTGATTCGATGGATCGATCTGCTCTTTCGCGCCGCCTGATTAGGAAAGCTATGCTCGAGAAATTCAGAAATATCACCATAGAGCTTTCCTCGTGTAATCCAGGCAAAATGGAGGTTCATGACTGTCGCCGCTCCTCAATATCCAGCGGTGAGACAGACGCCTGCTGTCACCTTCCTTCTTGAACTTCGCAGTTGTCGATATTATGGGACTGTGCCCAGTGGACTCGACTCAGAAGGTGTTGAATAACTTCCTAATGATCAATTCCTCGATTTGGATTACGCCAAATATGTTAGGTTTCATTTGTGACGGCCCGCAAACGTACCGGACAACGCTGGAAAGATTAGCACCGGTTGTCAATCTTTTATAGCTGGTTTTGCGCCTTCAATTATGTAAGGGATAGAGTAAACTCATTGTGTAACCGGTTTGTGCCTCTTAAATGTCGGAAAGTCGGACCGGTCAGGCTGCACCGGTTCGGCAAGGAGTGTGATAAACTGGATCGACTGTGGCGCAGACTGCAAGACAAATTCCTTTTCTTTGGATCGGTCGATCACTGAAAGGCGTATCAAAAACAGCGAAATATTTGCAGTCGTGCGAAAATGAGCAAGATCAGATATTTTGGAAGCAACCCACAACCGCCGCAAAAACCGCCTCGTAAAGAATCTTTCCTTACGTGAAGCGGTGCTTGAAGCTGGCAAATGACCTACCAGTGATGGATAGTTTGGACCAACAGCCTCTAATCACCAGCACTGAGCACCGAATCTCACCGCCGCGTTGGCAGCACACCTATCTTCTTTATTTGCATATGAACAGGTGTCTGTCTCAAGTTCAACGTGTACCGGCGCTACGGAACACGACAGTCTGTATTGTGATATTGAGGAGGTACATCAGCTACTCGCCAACCTTGAAGCTATTAAGCCTGCTGGGCCTGACGAACTTCGTCCACAGATTGTCAAGTCCCTATCGGTTATCATCTCTCAGAATGACAAGAGGGGACAACATTTCGACGGGCTACTCTGAATCCAACTATTTCGCGTATTCTCGTCAACCGTTTGCACACAATTAGTGGAATAGTTAGGCTGCATGCAGAGACCTTCAAGGTGTAACGTCATTGATGAATCGAAAACGGTCAGCGTTCACCTGGTGCTGGGCAGCATTCCACTTAGACGAATGTGTCCACCAGCCTAACGAAGGCAGGACAAGGCTGGCGACAAACTCGGTCTGTTTACACAAATTGGGTTTCAGACGCCTGATCACCGAAGCCTCAGCAAACTGAAGTAGACGGGCTGCGCTCTGTTATCATCTCACCTGCTGTGACTGACTTGTTTAACAGTTCGCTGTCAAGAGGTCCGTTGCCGATTGATTGGAAATGATTTAAAGAAGCCCATAAAGATAACCAAAAATCAGTGTTAGTGAACATATGTTTTCGATAATTCTTCATTAGACTAGTACAATTCTATATCGTGTACATCGATTAGACAGACTACTAAGTCGTTAAAACGGGGTAAAATCAGTTTACAAGTGGTCAACTATCGCCAATAATCAGGTCAATGTCGGAGTCTTCACACGATCCAACTGAGTAAAAATCACTACTCGATCGGGCCAGGGCAGTTGTAAGGTTTGAACAAATCGCTTTTGAGTGCACGACTTTGGTTCGTACAACCGGATTGCTGTAGCTTCACCGGCTTCTACTATCCGTCTGCGGATATACTTCGATCGATTTTCCGGGGCCTTGTAGATCATTTGGAATGCTTCGGCTGGCCTAGGGTTGTGGCCTGTGTCGGCAAGGTGGGCAGCTATGGCTGAGTTACCCTTCTGCATCCGGTCGCTAGCCATGCCGGACGGTGTTCTTTCATTCTCTCGGATAGACACCTAGTCGTACGACCAATGTATCCTGAACCACAGGAACAGATAAAACAATAGATGCACATAGAATTGTCGTGGACAGGTCTACTATCCTTGATTATTGGCGATAGTTGACCACTTGTAAATTGATTTTACCCCGTTTTAACGACTTAGTAGTCTGTCTAATCGATGTACACGATATAGAATTGTACTAGCCTGATCAAGAATTATCGAAAACATGTGTTCACTAACATTGACCTTTGATTATCTTTATGGGCTTCTTTAAATCATTTCCAATCAATCGGCAACGGACCTCTTGCCAGCGAACTGTTAAACAAGTCAGTCACAGCAGGTGAGATGATAACAGAGCGCAGCCCGTCTACTTCAGTCTGCTGAGGCTTCGGTGATCAGGCCTAGCCTGATGAAGAATTACCGAAAACATATGTTCGCTAACATTGACTTTTGATTGGAAATGCTCGGTGTTAAAGTAGATTCCGAAAGGCGGTGGCCATAGCATAGTGGACAATTGCAGTCCAATTTATTTGCCACCTATTTTCGCCAAGGTGGCCGAGAAGATGGTAAAGAAGAGTGCTACAGCCGTTTTGGTCGAAAAGCCAGACGCCGGCACAGCACGGTTTCATGAAAAACCACTCATGCATTGCAAACCTGTTAAGGACGCGGTACGAATGGTTGCAATCGCCGAAACATCATCAGTACCATAAACACACGTTAGCTGAAGCTGAGAAACACACCTCGGTTAATGTGCCGCAATATAAAAAGATAATATACTGAAAAATTATTTTACAAAAAATTCAAAAATCGTAATCTAACGTTAGACACTATGTTATGCATTCCGTGTTAGATCTTACTTGGAGGGGAAATCTAAAGGGGATAGACGAAGCAACTCACAACACGAACGCCATTGAGGTCGATTCCTAGCACTGTCAACAATTGTATCCAGCCGAACGTGGTCATCGTCCATCGGTCCCCAACCAGGGAGCCGAGTGGCTCCAACTGAAGCCAACTTCGAAGTAAGGTCCTTCCTTCCACGATAACAATTTCTTAGCCAGTTTTGCGTCGTACCACTTTATCCCCCTAAAACTGTTATACTTCTACCTTTTATCTCACTGACACTCCTTACTTCAACCACTTATGTGGTTTGCCAATTTGTTAGTATTTCTATTGCCAACCTGCGGGACTCGTTAAGTGTATGCTTTTTTACCCGTCATATACCATTGTTCCATTGTTCCTCTTGATCAAGTCATCTCTTGGCCACCCCTCCTCTTCTTCTATCCACACCGCCTGCGAGTAAATAACGCACGTCACTAGTCGGTGTGCTGGCATGCGCAATGCGTGGCCCAGCCATCGGAGCCTGGTGCTGAGTGCTTCACCCGCTTTTCCTGCACCAAATACGCGACGCCGAACACGCTCATTGCTCACGCGGTGCTTCCACCAGACATGAGCTAAGCTGCGAAGGCAGCGATGCTCGAACGTGACTAGCCTCTGTCTGTCGTCTAGATGACCAAGGTTTCACAACTGTATAAGCGAGTTGAGCGGACGGTTGTATTATAAGCTCTACCCTTCACGGTTAGAGTGATGTCGCGTCGGAGACATAGTTGGCGGAGATTGGCAAAAGCACCCTGAGCTTTTGCTATACTGTTCGTAACCTCATCTTCGATCCCACGGGCGCTAATATAAGCTGCTCAGGTACTTGAATTCCTGAACGACTTCTAGCAGATCATCACTAAGCGTTAGCACAGGGGTGGGTTCCTGCTAAATTTGGAGAAGGACTTCGATGGAGCGAAGCATAGCCCAAAACGATAGACAGTCAGTGCTAACCGGTCCAGTGATGCTTGTTACGTTTAGGAGCTGTCACAGATGAGAGCAATTTCTTCCTCATACTCCAGGTCAAGACGTCGCTCACCAGGAAGAAGCTCCACACCTTGTAGTTCGTGTTCAGCGAACGCTGTTTCCATGACTTCATCAGTTGCGAAGTTGAAGAGGAAAGGTGACAGCGGGCAACCTTGTCTCACACCGCTGGAGGTATTGAAAGGCGGCGACAGTTGGCCGTAAACCCTCACACTGCTTCAATTGTACGCGTGCAGCGCTTTGATACTGTTTACGTATTTATCGGACACACTTTTCCTTAGCAGACACTTCCAGAGCGCACATCGATCCACTGAATCGAAGGCGCCTTTCATGTCGAGAAACACAACAACGATGGACCAACAATAAACATGGTGGTGCTCCAACACTTGACACAAGGTGAAGATGTGGTCGATGCACCCCTGATCTCAACGAAACTCGGCTTGTTCTTCGCGAATCTGGCTTT